CGCTGCGAGGTGTCCCGCGTGCTGCTGCTGCTGCTCCTGCAGCCGCCGCCCGCCAAGCTGCTCCCGGAGCACGCCCACACCCTGGAGAAGTACTCCTGGGAGGCCTTTGACAGCCAGGGCCAGGAGAGCGGCGGCCAGCTCCCCGAAGACCTCTTCCTGCTGCTCCAGTCCCTGGTCATGGCCACCCACGAGAAGGACACGGAAGCCGTCAAGGCGCTGCAGGTGGAGATGTGGCCGCTGCTGAGCGCCGAGCAGAACCACCTGCTTCACCTCGTGCTGCAAGAAACCATCTCCCCCTCGGGACAGGGGATCGGATGACTCGCATTAGCCTGGTGACTTTGCCTGCTGCCAGACCTCAGGCACCCGCCTCTGCATTTGGAGGGAAATAAAAGATATTGATCACCGCCGTTCGACCTTTGTTAGCTTATTCCTCTTGCCACCATAGGAATTTAGTTGACTGAAAGTTACCTGTACCCCAAAGATATATTTCCATAATAACGGGAGAAAAAAACAGTATGATGGGATCGGAGCAGAGCACATGGCTCGCTTCCCCAAAAACTGCAACATAAAAATGAGACTCATTTTTTAAAAAAATCCTCACCGGAAGAGAGCTGCTGCTTTTGATTTTTAGGGAGCAAGAGAGTGGAAGGGAGGTGAGGGGGGGGGGGAGAAATAGACATTGATGTGAGAGCTATACATCAATTGGTTGCCTCGCGCATGCGCCCCAACAGGGTGTGGGGATCAAACCTGCAGTGTACCTGCAACATAAAAATGAGACTCATTTTTTAAAAAAATCCTCACCGGAAGAGAGCTGCTGCTTTTGATTTTTAGGGAGCAAGAGAGTGGAAGGGAGGTGAGGGGGGGGGGGAGAAATAGACATTGATGTGAGAGCTATACATCAATTGGTTGCCTCGCGCATGCGCCCCAACAGGGTGTGGGGATCAAACCTGCAGTGTACCTGCCCTGGACGGGAATCAAATCCCAATCCTTGTGTGTGTACGCGCTCGCGCATGCGTGCGCAGGGGATCAAACCTGCAGTGTACCTGCCCTGGACGGGAATCAAATCCCAATCCTTGTGTGTGTGCGCGCGCGCGCGCGCGCGCGCGCGTGCGCGCGCAGGTTTACACTCTAACCACTGAGCACACAGGCCAGGGTAAAATGAGAATCCTTTTATCCCTTTTCTCTTCCACCCAAGTTGATCCGCCCCATGCACCCACGCTCTCGTCTTTGTTTCATTGTCAGGAATTTATTGTACACACTCTCAATACTTAAGCTATGTGGTTTTCCTATGGTGATTAATTTATTGGCATATTTCTCCCTTATCTGCCTCATACTTATTGGTGGGAATCAGTTGCTTGGTAAAATTGTTGCTATAGCCCTAAATCCATGATAAAGCCATTCCAATACCCCTCATTTAGTTCGCCTATAAAATGGGTGTAACTTATCTACCTGGCAGGAGGCAGAAAGCAGAAACAGGTAGTTCTTAGTTCCAAGATGTATTCATTCATTTGAAGTTGACAGTGTGTCTAGTCTAGTGTGTGGGCTATGCCAGACAGTGAATCTACAGACATCATTTGCCCCGTGGTCCTTACTCGGAGAGCTGCAATACAAACATATTCCGTGCAAGGTCATTTCAAGGGCAGACTGAAAGGGAGTGGGGCCCAACCTAAATGTGTCAGGTGTGCACTGAAATTCACATCTATGGTTCTATTCTGAGAGGTATCTGTACTACCCATGACCATTTTTATTTGTAGCGATCTTTCTGTAACTCAAATATATAAAATCAGCATGTTCTTTGGTGGTGTGTGATCATGTATATGCAAGCCAGTGTCATTCCCTAAAACCATCATGGCATGCTATTTATTTTAATTTTATTATTATTATTTTAATTTTTTATTGATTTCTGAGAGGAAGTGAGAGGGGGAGAGAGAGAAATAGAAATATCAATGATGAGAGGGAATCATTGATCGGCTGCCTCCTGCACGCCCTGTACTGGGGATCAAGTCCATAACTCGGGCATGTGCCCTTGACTGGAATTGAACCTGGCACCCTTTGGTCTTCAGTCCGACGCTCTAGCCACTGAGCTAAACCAGCTAGGCACTAGCATGCCATTTTTAAAAACACTAAATTTCCAAGGCTTTTTGGTCTAAATGTTACATGCAAACCCACTTAGCTGTTTTTGTTTTAATGCAATTTATCATATTTACAGTTTTGAGAGTGATAATAAGAACTTCAGAGTATATACTCTTTGGGTATACTCCAGAGTTCTCATCCTTTAGGCTGAAATTGTATACAGTACTAATCTTTTGGGGTGAGATTTAAGGACACAGTTTGGGGGTAGGTTTTTGTTTTGTATTTTTTGAGGGGATATGTGGATGGTTGTCTCTATGATTAAGTGCCTCAAAATGGGTGGGAATTTTATTTATTTATTAATTAAATTATTGGGGGCTTTTTTTTGTTGTTGTTGTTAATCCTCACCCGAGAATATTTTTCCATTGATTTTTAGAGAGTGGAAGAGAGAGGGACAGACAGGGAGAAGCATCGATGTGAGAGAAACACATTGATTGGTTGCCTCCTGCATGCGCCCTGACCAGGGCCCTGGGATGGGGAGGAGCCTGCAACCAAGGTACGTGCCCTTGACCAGAATTGAACTCAGAACCCTTTGGTCTGCAGGCTGACACTCTATCCACTGAACCAAACTGGCTAGGGCTGGGTGGGAATTTTAAAATATATATATTTTTATTGATTTCAGAGAGGAAGGGAGAGGGAGAGAGAGAAACATCAATGATGAGAATCATTGAGCAGCTGCCTTCTGCAGGCCCCCTACTGGGGATTGAGCCCAGAACCCGGGTATGTGCCTTGACCACAAATTGAACCGTGACCTCCTGATTCATAGGTGGATACTCAACCTCTGAGCCACACTGGCCAGGCAAAATGGGTGGGACTTTTCTGCCTCTATTTCAACAGTGTGGAAGCAATAGGCAAGGAGTGACAGCATACACCTATTTGTGACAGATTGAGTCACCATTCCTGTGCTCTCATTGGCTGCCAGGAAAGGCCCTTTGGTACCCTAAAAGCCTAGTCCAATTTATTGTAAAAGTGGTAAGGGTGCATGCTGCTTTGTGCTTTGCTTTTTTGGGTATACTCTTCTCACCCTGTTCTGCAGGCCTGGCCGGCTGTCTTACTGTCTTATGACAGGAATGCTTAGGAGTTCTGTAATGTGACTAATGGTAGTATTTGGATTTGGATTTAAGAAAAATCCTCCTTGCTGAAACTGGTTTGGCTCAGTGGATAGAGCGTCAGCCTGCGGACTGAAAGGTCCCAGGTTCGATTCCAGTCAAGGGCATGTACCTGGGTTGTGGGCACATCCCGAGTAGGAGATGTGCAGGAGGCAGCTGATCGATGTTTCTCTCTCATCGATGTTTCTAACTCTCTATCTCTCTCCCTTCCTCTCTGTAAAAAATCAATAAAATATATTTAAAAAAACAAAAAAACAAAAAAAAAGAAAAATCCTCCTTGACCTAACCGGTTTGGCTCAGTGGATAGAGCGTCGGCCTGCGGACTGGAGGGGCCTGTGTTCGATTCCAGTCAAGGGCATGTACCTTGGCTGCGGGCACATCCCCAGTGGGGGGTGTGCAGGAGGCAGCTGATCAATGTTTCTCATCGATGTTTCTGGCTCTCTATCCCTCTCCCTTCCTCTCTGTAAAAGTCAATAAAATATATTTTTTTAAAAAGAAAAATCCTCCTTAGGCCTCTGATCTAAACTTCTTGCATTAAGGAGGTGGGTGTGGGGGTTACCAGAGAGGCAAATATTGGGTTTATAAGTATAATTTTAGGAAACACTAAAGGTTGTTTTCCATTCGCCATTGGCTCATTTATGTATGTCCCTCAGAAATTTCATAGTATAGATAGCTGGGCCAAAGTCACATTTCAGTGATTTTGACAAAGTTCTCTTGCCGCATAGCAACTTAATACCCAAATTAACACTGATTGCTAACATGACCGAAAATAAATATTTTAAAGGAGATGGTCAGTCTTTTTAACTTGAAAACCAGAGGGAAAGATTTGCATCATTGAAACATTCATTGACAATTCAAAATTAGCATTCAAAATATTATAAACCTGAAAATGGCAGAGAATCATT